TGAGGCCAAGCGGTTTCAGAGCCCTTCTGGCCGCCGGCTTAGGGTAACGGGTTCGAGCTGCAGCTTGCATGCGGAAGTCTTGTCGCGGGCTGCTTGTCAGGCATCTCTTGCTGTCCTGTTGCATCACGTCCTGAAGTCCCCTCTCTCCTCCTGTCCCTCCCTGTGACACGTGTCCTCCCATGTTTTGTTTTGGACCATGGCCTAAATATTTAATCGTCTGTTTGACTTGCCTTTTGGATCGCAAATATTATTTGATGCTTATTTCTGTTTTGTGTTTTTTTATCTTCCTGTTTCTGATGTTCACTGTCACCGCTCCATCTCTCACACGTAGCTTGTGTCCCTTTTAACGTCCCCCCGTCAGCCTCCCCCTCCCCCTCCCGCCTCCGCCTCACCCTCTGCTGTTCCCAACGGCCCCCAGTCTCCCAAGCAGCAAAAGGAACCCCTCTCCCATCGCTTCAACGAGTTCATGACCTCCAAACCCAAAATCCACTGCTTCAGGAGCCTAAAGCGTGGGGTAAGTTCTACTCGATCCCGTCTCTCTGGCGCGTGCGCTGCGGGTGCATGGTTTGTGCGCACAAGTTGTTTTGTCTGTGAATGAGCCCGCGGTGTTCTCCCACGACGTGGAACAGGCAGGACCCGAGAGTCGGGCGACAGAGAGGAAGGAAGCCGGGTGGCCCACAGGTCCCCGCCTTCAGCCCATCCCAGAAGGACTTTTCTCCATTTCCCTTTGGAACATCCAAGTCGTTAATATTTTACCTTAAAAAAAAAAAAAGGAGATTTAGAATCTGTTTCTAAAGTGAGCTCCCTGTGAGATGTGGAATTACAAGTCGCTGTGCAGGCAGAATAGGGCTGCTTCGTAATTACTGAGACGGCCTGAGTGTGGTGGGGATGCCTCTCCTGAGCCGTGCCCCCGGGTTCGAAGGGGAGGTGCTGATAAAAAATCCTGGTGGTGTATCTGACTGGAGGAGGCCCGATGCAGCGTTTCTCTCTATTTATTTATTGTTTTTTAATATATCTTTATGGGTTTCAGAGAGAGGGAGGGAGAGAGAGAGAAAAACATCAATGATGAGAGTCATTGATCGGCTGCCTCCTGCTCACCCCCTGCTGGGGATCGAGCCCACAACCCGGGCCTGTGCCCTGACCGGGAATCGGACCCGGATCCTAGGTCGACGCTCAACGGCTGAGCCACACCGGCCAGGCCAGTATTTCTCTTTAAACGGTGAAGTAACAACAGCTGCTGACATTTATCGAGTGTTTATTACCTGCCAGGCTGTTCTACACCCGATGTTACTTTTTTCAACCACCCTGGGAACCAAGCTGCTCGGGTTCCTATTTTACTGAAAAATAAGAGAACTGAGGTGTAAAAAGATAAAGGGAGGAAGGCGGACCCCCAGGAGTCCCTGTTCACAGTCTGGGATCCTGTGGCGGCCACGTCGAGAGAGAATCTGAACGCGGGGACTGGCTGCAGGTGCTGCGCCTCAGGCGGGCTGTCGTGACCCCGGCTGCGTGCGCTAAGCCCCAGTGACCCAGAGTCGGTAGCAGTTTGAAGGATTGTCACGGAGCCATGGGTGCGTCTGGCCCGGGCTGCCCCGGCACGCTGTAGGATGGAGTGACGGGCGGGGGTGTCGAGAGCAAGCGGGCGGAGTCGCAGCGCATCCGGGAAGGGCCCCCCCAGTCCCGGCCTGGGGGGCAGCCATCGTGGGGTGCTCTCACACAGAAGTCCCACTTTTCCCTCCTCCTGTGTGAAAGAAAAGTGAATGTGTGATAGGTAACTAAGCTGCTCCCCTTTAAAATACGGAACAGAGACCCCTCCCTTTGTATGCAGAGGCCCTGGAATGGAGCTCAGGGTTTTATGTAAAAAACACAGTTGGCGGAACCATCTTGTTTTAGGTCGCCCGGCACGTCGGGCTAAGGATGGGAAGTCGGATGTCCTGGAGATTTGGGGACAGCACCGTTAGGGGTCAGAGGTCAGCTTTACCAGCGGAGGCTGGGTCTGCCGAGCCCAGCAGCTGGACCTCGAGAGTGCGGGCTTCCGGCGCCCAGCCGCCCCACTCGCTCACCGAGGAGTTTCCCACGTCCTGCCAGGGTGTTGTCACTGCGCCGCAGTGTTTTACGCCCAGCATAAGTCAGTTGGCCCATCTCTGCCCCTCTGAGACCTTCGCGGGGCCTCGGCTCCCGTAGGTACAGTAGGTACCTCTGCGCGGTCTCTGGACTCCGGGCGACGCCGTTGGCGAGGGCGGGCCCGTCGCCTCTGGAGCCTTTGCTTCCCCTCTGGGCATCAGTCTGCCGGCCGCCGGCGGTTTCTGCGCCTGTCGCTCGGCCCTCGCTCAATGTTTAGAAGACCAGGGAATGGCCGTGAGCAGTGAGCCAGGAAAAAGGTGGCGAGGGAAAGCATAACACTTAAAAACTAAACACAGTGAGGGGAGAGACTGGTTAATTTGATGATTTAAAGGACCCCTCCCCATCTTTGTTTTGTTTTTTAACCATAATTAGCAAAATGCCTTTTATTTCTTTCCCCCCTCAATTCTGTGTTCAGCAAACCTCTGTTAAAAAATGTCCTGAACGGTGAGTGTGTTTTCTTTCACACACACACAAATACACACTAAGAACGTCAGTGAAGAAATAGAAACATATTCGTGTTTCTCTTAAGTTAGTCGGGTCAGATCTGATGTCCCTTCAGGAAGAAGCAGCACAGAAAAAAGAAAAAGGGAAAAAAGATAAAGGAAATACATTGTAGAAGTGAGGATAGGAAATTAAAAAAAAAAACACAACAAAAAACCTGAAGTTTGGGGAAATAAATTTGATGTTATAGCCATTTCAAAGCAGAAGGTGCACGGCTCTGGGGGCCCGTGGCTAAAACGACACGGCCCTTGCTGCTCTGATGCGAAGGCTGTCGGCCAGAGGGAGGCGAAGTGTCCGAGGAGCAGAACAGACCCGTGATTTTCAATGTGTCTTTTAACTTCCCGCGTTTGCAGCTTTCAGGTGCAGATTTGAATAATTTGTTTCTGTTACCAGAACGTATCAGTCTTGTGCAAACACGTCTTAGCTGATTTTGTTTCTAAACAATGAAACAGGATACAATGTTTCTTGCTGTAAGTCAGCGGCAAGAAAGTTTCGTCTCATGGAACAAAACGAAGACGGGCGCCACCGGAGCGCGGTCTGTTGTTTCGCCCTCTCCTGGGCGTACGGTACGTTCTCAGTGCCGTCTGCGAAGTGGAACTTGATCGCCCCCCCCCCATTTGTTGGATGTTACAGTCTTAAGGTTACTTCCGCTTTATTGACTGTCTCTTGTCCTCTTGCTGGTTATTGGCAGACTCGGCCTCTCTGCTTTCACAGAGAACTCACCAGGAGGACGCTAGGGACAGCCACGTATGCATTTGAAGCTAGGGACTATGTTGTAAGTTCGCCGTGGCGGCAGGTCATGCAGCCACGGCACAGGCACTAACCCCACTGACGCCACCGAGACTGGGGACCCAGGCGCACTCGTTACGCTTCCACCGGGAAATGGCATCCCCGATTGAGAGACCCCGACACGGGGCGCGGGCGGGGGACGGGGGCTCCTTGTACAAACTCAACCCCGAGCCATTTCACCCGGGAAACTTGCCTGGCAAAGGGATCCGAACTTCCCAGTAACAATCTAACTTCCTAAAAATGTCAGTAAGCGGAGCTTGGTTTTTCCCCCTTTCCACTGGCGGTGATGCCACCTGAGAAGATGTCCTTGGGTTGGTTTTGACAGCAGAACTTCTCCTATAAAACGCAGCCACAGAGCGTGGTCACAGGAGGGTGACACTCTTACAGGTGGCCGTGGTGTGGCACGGTCACCCGCATCCACACCTGCAACCGGTGATCCCTAAGGGGGTTACCCCATAAAGCTTGGAGCACCCCCAAAATCCATGAAGCGTGCACAGGGTCGCAGAGGAGTGGAGTGACGTGGCCCTTACATGCACTGCCCAGATGTTTATTTCGCTGTCCCCTTTCTTTGTACTGAGTTTAGTACCTGTGGCTGCCCAGTGACACGTGGATGCACTACCTCTATGTCCCCTCGTGTGCTCTCGACACGTGTGGCTCCCCGGGCTCCATAATTGTCGCCCGAAGCTGACAGATTTTCAGTTTTCCGGGGGTCTCGCAATGCACGGTACCCAGCCTCTAAAACACCCTCTTAGCAGAGGGGTCGGTTTCTAGCTGGAAATGATCTAACTGGCTGGCTTACAACCTGAGACGGAGAAGCAGGTCACAGTCGGTAAAAGGAGCGATACAGTGATGGTGGGAAATGGGACGGGTCCCAGCGCTTGCTGCTCTGTCTCTGTCGGGATTTATCTCGATCCTAACGACTTACTATTGTTACGAAGTGGTACTATTCGTATGCTGCCCGTTGGGATGCTAAGGTCCTGTGTTTTAGAATGCTTGGGACAGAATATGTAACTTTAATATTTTTAGGAAAAAAAATTTAGTTTTTATTGATTTCAGAGAGAAAAGGAGAGGGAGAGAGATAGAAACATCAATGATGAGAGTCACTGATCGGCTGCCTCCTGCACGCCCCCGACTGGGGATCGAGCCTGCAACCTGGGCATGTGCCCCGACCGGGAATCGAACCCCGATCTCCTGGAGTCTGGGTCGCTGCTCTACCGCTGAGCCACACTGGTCGGGCTCTTTTCCTAATTTTGAGATACTGTTTGGGGTCCAGTCATCCCTACATCTTTGCTACCCTTGAGGCCCAGCAGGACGGCAGCTGCTGGCTCCTGACAACGGTCACGGAAGCCCCAGCGAGGAGAGGCCCTTGGCTATCTATTTCCCAAGCTAACTGGCAAGAGCAGCTACCCCTGTTAATTCCCCAGGTGCCACGTCACCCCTTGGGCAGGGCTCAGAGGCGATGGGGGACCCCTCCCTGCCGCGGTGCGGGTGGTGCTGTGCGCTGCTGCTCAGGCGGCGACACATTGTCCGGCCTCCGCCTGGCGCCAGGGGCTCCCGGGCTCCCCAGGCAGTTTCTCAGGGCAGCTCGCGGGCCTTGGTTTCCTGCTCAGCGGCCTGAGAGTTTGCCTCCGAGCCTTTAAGAAAGGCCAGAGTTCCTATTTATCAGGTTCCCTGCCCGTAGAAATACCACCTGCCTGTTACAGGAGCGATTGCCTGCCAGGCTCTTTCAGTCTGTAGTGAGTTTGGTGCACAAAAGACTGTGATTATTATTTTTGTCTTTTTAAAAAATGTTTTCATTGATTTCAGAGAGAGGAAGGGAGAGGGGGAGAGAGAAACATCAGTGATGAGAGGCATTGACCGGCTGCCCTGCACGCCCCGACTGGGGAGCGAGCCCGCACGGGGCATGTGCCCCGACCGGGAGTCGAGCTGTGACCTCCTGGTTCGTAGGCCGACACTCGACCACTGAGCCACGCCGGCCGGGCTGTTTTTGACTTTTCTAATCGTTACATGTTACCAACTGCAGACTTATTTTCGTTTCTCTCTGGGCCGGTGGGGACCGTACAGAACTGTGAGCAGAAGCCCCTTTCCTGTCTAGTCTTTGCTTTGGTGACAGGGCAGCTGGAGGAGGGTTTGGTGGGGACCAGCCCCCGCGTGAACCTGCACAGTCCGCTCCGGGCCATTTTCACGGAGCTCCCGGTGAATTTGTGTGATGTTAACGGGGTGGAGCTGACCGAGTTCCTCTCCTTCTGATGTGTTTTCTCTCTCTCTCTTTCCCCTGTTCCCCCCGAATCTGTACACGAAGCTTTCTCTCAAGCTGGTAAGCACGACGCTCCCGCATGCCCTGGGTCCAACGGGGTCCCTGCGTGTGTCCCCCACGGCCCGCCCCACGCGAGCTGCCTGCGCCTCCAGCCGCTGGCCTGCGTTTCTCACCCTCCGTCAGCCTTGGAGCTGAGAAAATTAACGCTTTGCTCACGGTTTCAGTTTTGGTGTTTTGGTTTTTGTTTTATTTACTACTGGAGCCTTAAAAGGATGGCAAATGTTGATGAGCTTTATTTAAATATTAATATTAATAATATTAAGTCATGGGGACTTTATTCATTGGACCATTTAGAGTAAAAGTAAATTTAACCATCTGGGAAGATGCTCCTCCCAGAGAGCCAGAGCCCACGGCAAACGCGGGAGCCCGAGGGCCTGCAGGGGCCACGCCAGCCTCCGCGCGGGTCGCAGGCAGCCGCGAGGGCGGGCGCCCTGAATCTCCAAGGTGCTGCTTAAATGGCTCGGTGCCTTGTGCTTAGCTGATTCTAGAAACCGCAACATAAAAGGGAAAAAATATAGATATATATACATATATATATATGTATCATACATATATATATAGTAAAATAAAATCACAAGATGAGTCACAGACAGTGAACAGAGCCTCCTGACTCCCCCACTGACCGACTCAAGTGTTCAGTGCTGTTTCCCCTTAATTGTGAAGCCCCAGTAAGCAAACTAACCGTTACACGTATGAAAAGAAAACCTTCAGCAGCGTAGCCCGTAACTGGGCCTCGGGCACGTGTGAGTTCCCGGGTCATGTTCTCAAACATCCCAGCGGAGACATCCCGACGTCACGGGCGGCGACAGACGGACAGCCCGGCGGGGAACACGGCGAGCGCCCCCCCTGCCACGGGTACCGGGCTGCGTGTTCGCAGCTGTGCCCGCGCTCACGCGTGTGCGGGCGCAGATATTCCCACACAGACGCGGAGCTTCTCCGGCCCGGGCTCAGTGTTTGGCGACTGACCCAACCCTAAAGAAAATGGGTATTTTCATTAAGTGAAACATCCCCTAGACTGAGGTAAAAGTCTGGAGACGCGCCCTTGCTTGAGGACGTGAGGAAAGGTCCAGCTGCTCCGGGCAGTGGGCCCCTGGGCAGGACGATCGGGAGGCGCCTCTCGGGCACCAGGGGTCCTTCCCGCTTCCTTTGTGCCTTGGCTGAGGCTCCCAGCGGGTCATGCTGCTGGGCAGTCTTCCTGGTCTGAGACAGAAACCGTGTTACCAACCTGCCCCTAAACTGTCGCTTTAGCCCGGGGTGGGGACGTCTGGGCCCGCCAAGGCCTCGAAACTCAGTAAACCTGGGAGCTGTTTCGCAGCTGATTTTCAAGTTGGTCATTTTGGACAGCCCTCGAGTGACGTTGTGAATATCCAAGTGGCCCCCAGCGGAACGAAGGTTCCCCAGCCCCGCCCGTGACGTTGCTTTGAGCTAGTAGAGGCCTGAGGCCTCCAGGCGTGGCTGGGGGGTCGGGGTGCAAGTCTCGGGGAGCAGCTCCTCACTCTGCAGTTTGGGGCAGTTGCTCGGGAGCCAGCGTTCGATTCCAGAAGCTGTAAGACAGGAGCCTCCTGGAGCCACCGCCACTTAAAGTACAAACGTGTGTGTGACCCGCCTTCCAGGGCCAGGGCCACCCGGTCCTCTGTACCCCGGGGTGCTCCAGAGACGGCAGAGCGTGTCCCCTGACCCGGAGCTGAGAGTAGAAACTCCTTCGGGCAAAACAAATCGCAGGTCAGGCGGGGATCCCAGCTTCCGAGGGCTGATTGGAGAGAGTGGCCGGTTAAGGTGGATCCCCGGAAGCCCTGCGTTTCCTTGGATCTAGAAGGAGCTCTTAGCCTGAATCTCCCCGGGCAACGGGAAGCTTGTTGGAGCCACAGTTACGAGATTCGTTTTTAAATGACAGCACAGAAGCGTAGGCGAGCTGTGGAGGGACCCTGGTCGGTCCGTGAGACTCACTCCTGAGCCCCTGGGAAGAATTCATCGATTTATTGTGAAAGTCACAGGCACAGTGTGTTTGGGGTTTTTTGGTCAGGTTTTATTTGTGGGTATGAAGCGCAGGGTGTTTTGCTCACACACTTCTCTGCAGCTGTTCTTGCCCATGCAAATGTCACACCTGTTCAGTCTAGACCTGTGTCCCCAGTAGCGTTCCACTCACCCCATGGGGCTGGCTAAGTCCTGGCTGATTAAAATTAAATAAAACTTTAACATTCAGGGCCACAGTTGTACTGGCCACTCTCCCCGTGCTCAGTAGCCAGGTGCAGCTGCTGGGGGGGGGTGCAGACATGGGCCCACCCATGGCCGCAGGGCGTCCCTCCAGACCCGGGCTCACGGATATCAGTGACCTCACACTGACCGCCTGGAGGTTCCCTGACTCCTGGCACAGTGGACCTCGCACTGTGCCTTGTCGCATTCCAGCCCTGAGGACAGAACAGGCCCAAACCCCGGCTCCAGAGCCAAGTCTCTGCTCTAGAGCACACGCTGATCGTTCTACGAAAACTTTGCCCGTGAATAAGCCATTGAGCTTCAGGTGATGGAACCGTGCATTTGGAAAGCACACCATCCGGGCTTCAAGTATCAGAACATATTGTTATATGGGGGAGGGAAAAAAGTCTGATTTGTTTAATGTTAGAGATTAGTTTGCTTCGTTCCAATTTTAGAGGCAAATTGAATTTCCTTGGTTTGGTGTTAGGGAATAGTTACCCCCGTCCTGGTTTCACTCACACATTATTTGTGCACACACACGTGCACACTCACATGCACACACGCTCACACGTGCTCATGCACGCACACCTTATTTCTTCCCATGTATGCACACACGCATGCGCACAGCTGTGAGAACATCAGCCTCTGCGTGTCCCTGCTGCTGACCTCTGCTGGGTCACATGCCTCCCACACCGCCTGGTGTTTGACCATCAGCAGCCTCGGAACGTCAGTCACCAGCCCCTGTGGCAGCCGCTCAGGGGACCCCACCTGACTTGGCAGTGACGTTCCCGGGGTCCCTCCCTTCCCGCCCTCTCCCCAAGCCCAGCCTTTGTTTCACTGGTTCCAAAGTAAAGCCTCTGGTCTGAATTCCCTGGCTTTTCCCTGGGCAGGGAATGAGCCACTTTCCTTCTGGAAGGGGCCTCGTTTAAGTGG